CCCTCATGCATGTGTCTATCTTACCTTTATTTTGAGAATTCATCTTGTTTGAAACCATTTTATATCAATTAATCATGTTTTGGAAGCTTTGAAATCAAGTTAATGCATGCATGTCATGTATTCAAAGATTTAAGCTTCATTTTGCACGATTGGCAAGCTTTTGGACCTTGATTTTGCAATATGATCTTTAATTCCCAATGTTTTATAAGTTTACAAATGTTTCCTTAAGCTTTTGGCCCAAAAGAACTTGATTTGCAGCTTTGAGTTTGAGTTTTGAGCTTGAAAGCAAATCTGGAAATTCCAGAATTCTGCCTTGCCACTCGAGCGACCACTCTTTATTTTGCACTTCCGCTTGAGCAACCAAAAGTTGGCTCGAGCGTAAAATGCATGCTCCCAGAAGTTTACACATTTTGCAGATCTCTCGAGCGACAAGAGTTGCACTCGAGCGAAGACCTCAGTCTCACGCTGTGCGTCAAGTGGAAAAATCAAGCAACCAGTACTTTTGGAAAGTTTACAGACCACTCTAGTGACCGAAGTTGCGCTCGAGCGACCACCATTGTTTTTGACCTTCCGCTCAAGCGAAGAAAGCTACACTCGAGCAAGGACTCTATTTTCAGCAAATTTGGCTAAGTGTTGAACAGCATCTTTTGGCATCCTCATTGCATCCTAGGTATTCTTAGGCTATAGTTAAGACATAATAATGAAGATAAGGGCTAAAAACACACTAAGAACGAAATGAAATAAGTTACGCGTGATTCAAGCGCGTGTTTTAATACGTGTATCTGTTGTGTTTGTGTAGGTTACGCGCTGTGAGCTGTTGATCCATTGATTTGCTATCAAAGCAATCTGTGAATAATAACTCTGTAAAGTTATATTTGACTTTAATTATTTTCTGATGATATGAAATTATCAGTTGGAACGGATCGTGACATAAATATTATAAAACAAACTCATGATTTGAGTATTTTAACAAAATAAAATTTTAATTTTGTCAATTTAAATTTTAATCTTTTAATTTATTTTCAATTTAAACTATTTGTCTATTTTTGTTAAGTAAAAGTGACAAAAAATAATATTTTAATCATTAAAGTCAATGAAAATAAATATTTTAGCCATTTTTGGTACACTTACATTGAGTATAATGACTAAAATATCATTTTTTGTTAGTTTTACTTAATGAAGATGTACAAATGGTTTAAATTGAAAACAACTGAAGATATTAAGATTTAAATTGATAAAATGAAAATTTAAAATTTATTTTGTTATAAGGTTTAAATCTTGAAAAAAAAAATTTATAATTTTTCCTAATAATTATGTGTGAAAGAAAAAAAATAAAGGGAATAAAACCACAACCAAAATGTGGGACATGATATACATAAATTATAGATAATGTAACAAATTCACTCCAATTTTTATTTTAATTTTAGCTTATAAGCATTCATACATATTTAATCTATACTATAAATTTGGGTAAACTACAATAATTTTTCTTGGGATTTGGATAAAATATAATAAATTATATAATTTTGCATTTTTTACATCAACCCATTCAGTAAGACTATGAAAGGAAAAAAGTGAAAGATAAAAAAAAAAAATTAAAAAGGTAAATATATATTTAAGTGTAAGAGAAATGACAAAATTATTTTTTCATTCATATAATTAATGAATTATTGATGAAAAAATGAATTAATGCAACAGTTAATCTTGATTTAGTTTGATCAAGACTCCAGGATTGAAATTAAGAACCAATGGTGGAGGCAATTTGATGTAGGGAGTTATAAGGGATGAAAACCTAACACAAAGAATAACTACGAATTGAATAAAAAAGATACTCTTTTTGAAATATATTTAATTCTCCATCATAAATTGATTTTATCCTAAGACTTACACCTTTATTTATACTAAGGGGTTGTTTGGGATGACCTAAATAAGTATATTTTTTGTCTTTTTACGAAAAGATGTACAGAAAAGTAGAGAGGTGATGTGATAAAAAAAAGATAAAAAAATAAAAAGATGGATTATATTGGAGTTGCCAAACTTAGCCTAAAATAACTCTTGCTTACCAAGAATAATTCTTACTCACCAAGAAAATCTAAAAAAGAGAGATATATCCTTACTAGTCAAGAATATTTTAAAAAGAAATATAATATTAAGAAATAAAATAATTCTAATAAAATAAAAACATACAATTTTAAAATTCCAATCTGGATCATTTACTTTTGCCATTTTCCTTGTTTGTCCATGAGTTTCAGGAACTCTATGGTCAAACACTCTGCATCATTCCCTCCAGGTTGAGAAGAATTCACCCTCGAATTAAAGTCGTCATCCGAAATCACCATGATAGGGAACTAGATACTTAACATTAAAAACATTAGCAGTGAGGATATGACTTGGAAGTTTCAAATGGTAGCCATTTGGGATAATCTTCTCAACAATCTCCACAGGACCAATCTTTCGTGCAACTAACTTGTTGTACTTCCCTATTGAAAACCTATTCTTGGTGAGGATAGTGTATACAAAATCTCCCACCTCAAATTCGCCAAATTTTTTTATCAGCTTTCTCCTTTTATTTTGCAAAACTCGCCTTCAATTGTTGTTGGGTGGCCGAATGAATTTTTTGCAAGTGAGCTATAAAATCCTATGCTTTAGCATGCAACCTATGCATGTTGGAGACGAATGCAAGGTCAAGTGGGAAACGCAGAACAATACCATAGACAATCTGGAATGAAAACAAACCAGTGCTACGATTTACAAAATGGTTGAATGCGAACTCGGCTTCACACAATTTTTTGTTCCTATGATTTCCAGTAATCCTCTGCAAGACAGTGAAGCATGTTGCCTAGAGAACGGTTCACCACTTCCGTTTGCTCATCTGTTCAGGGGTGATAGGTAGTACTGAAATCCAGTTTGGTGCCAATTTCCAAAGAAAGTGCTAGAAGTGACCCAAAAAATGTGTCTCGATCAAAGACAATGAATTTAGGTACCCATGCAATTTATAAACTTTCCAAAAATACAATTGTGACACCATCACTGCATCTATAGTCTTCTTACAAGGAATGAAACGGGCCATTTTAGAAAACCGGTCTCCAACTATATAAATGGAATCATTATCTCATGAGGTTCGAGGCAAACCAAGGACAAAGTCCATATTGGCATCTGACCAAGGATGAGAAGAAATAGGTACGGGCAGATACAACCCAGCGTTATTGGCGATCCCTTTTGAAACTTGACAAGTACGACATTCTTTCACAAATTTGTAGATTTCCCTCTGCATTGTTGGCCAAAAATAGGATGCTACCACTAGTTCATAGGTTTTATCTCACATGCTCCTCATTATGCAGCTCCTTGATGATCTTTAGTCTCAAACTTGATTCTAGAATACATAATCGGTTGCTTTTGAAAAGGAAACCATCTTGGACATGACAGTCACGGTACCCACCTACTGTCATATTCCTTAGTACACTGGAAAAGAATGGATTAGATGATAACTGTAGCTCGCCTTTTTTGCCCCTCCTTTCGGAAGCTCGGAAAAAAGCCCTACAGTTCGGACTCTCGCGGTTCTGAATCTAATCTCACAAGTGCAATGTGAAATTGATAAACACCAAAAGTCCAAATCCAGCAAATCTTTTGGAAAATCGATTTTTAAGATCAAAATGCCAAAATTGGACTGCTTTGCTAGATACAGAGTCGCCACCTAAATATTTTATTTTGAAAAAATTTAAGAAACCCATGACTCGTGCCAAAGGCCACGTGTCCGTCATTACCAAAGTTGCCTCGGCTCGAGAACTTAGGTTCGAGAGGGGAACGTCATGAATTGAACACCCCCGCTCACTCGATCAAAGATCAGCCTGTACTAATCATGATATGATTTTTATATACATTATGTGCTCTTGTTCCGGTTATTAGGCTAGCATTACTACGTGATACGCACAAGCAAGTATATACTAGTTTGCTCAAGTTGGAATAATTCAATTCATGTTTATTTTTACGAAAATGGTTTGAATTTGCCACCTCAAGTGGGCTTAAAAGTTTGCAGATTTGCCACCAAACATAGTGGGCTTAAAACATGGTTTGCCACTCAACAAAGTGGGCTTAAAACTTACATTCGTTGAATTGTTCCAATTCAAACAACAAGCCTTCATCCACAGGCATTCATGGCAATCACTCACACTCATGCAAGTATGCTAAAGCTTTAAAACTCACCTAGTACTCCAAGCTAAGAAAAGATAAGTTAGAAAAATATGCATGATTCCTAACTATACAAGATGACTAATGCAACACACGCAATAATGCAATTACTAGGCTCGGCTACTAAGCATGGCATATGCAACAATTTGATAGCATGCCTTTTAAACACGTATTCAAAGAATTTATTGAAATAACAATGCAGTTTGAATGATGCGCCGAGTCTTGGTGCATGCAATATGAATGAATGGATGCAAGCATATGGTATGCTAATTGAAAGATGTCCCTAATCTAACCATAAAAAACGGGTAAATAAAAGGGAGAAAGACGTGGAGTTAGAAGACACGCACGCATACACACTTATTACGACATTACGCCCTCACGAAGAGGGGTCCGAATGAAACTAGCTAAGCTATGCTACGTAACTAATTATTACGACACACTTAACTAATTAATCAATTAGACTAAGTTATTTAATTAATTAATTTACACAACAGAAACTAATTAACTATCTAAGCTAATTAAGTAAAAACAATTAAATAATTAACTAACTATCTAAGTTAATTAAATATTACAAAGCAAACTAATTAACTAAACACTTAACTAATTAATTACAAAACAACTAAACTAATTAATTACAACATGAATTAATTAACTAATCTACTTAAATAGTTACAATATTTGCATAAATTAGCTACAACTAATTAACTAAGCAAATTAACTAAATGGCCTCGGGAAACGAGGGATGCATGCATGCTCAGTTTTTCACCCGAAGAACATCCATTGTCTGCCACTAATTGCCTCGGTTGCACAACACTTACACTGTTTTCCTCCTCTAGATCAACACTGCTCTGCTTCAAAAGCACAAAACTGAATTTTTCACTGGTGGCCGGTCAGCCACAGATGAGGGTTTGCCGGCCAACATTGAGGGGTTGCCGGCCACTGATGAGGGTTTGCCGGTCACTGAAGCCAAGTCTTCCCTTGCTGCAACAGAGGACAAAAAAGAGCAAGAAAGGAGTGGTCTCACAAGTAGTTTGTACCATGTATCACCCCTTATCATCAACACGAGCTCAAAGGAGTGATACATTTGGCCGTCAAACCATCAATCAAACAATTTCCATGCATGATGGCTAAGGACCAATTTGTACAAGTTCAATGAATGCAAAATAAGACTCAAATGCCATCACACTATCATGCATGATCAAGGGCAACGAAGACCTAGGAAAGTGGCACATTTCATCACTTTTGAGTATGAAATGTCCCATTTTCCTTGTGTTCAAATTAACGTCCGATTTGAACACATGCAATGCAACACAAAGAAATGTTTATCTTGCCACTTTTACTTGCCAATTTTGTTTACACATTTTAATTACCAAATCATTCTTTAATCAATTTGTCCATTGGTGAGTGTCCTCTAAGATGAAAGAAGTGTCAACCAAGGGACAATGTAAGGCAAGAGAGAGATCATGCCGTTGATAATAAACTGTCAAAGAGGATTAAACCATTAAGCATAACCTCAATCTCAATCTTAAAAGGTCCCAAGCTTAAAACAACCCTCAAAAGCAAATGAAAGAGTGAAACAAAGAGGGAGGTTGCAGAGTTTACAGTGCTGAAATAGAGTGAAAAACAACACTAAAAGATGCTATCTACTCAAACAAGAGGTGTCTAAGACCCTAAAACACCAACTTGTGAAAACTATTACACTACAACCATGCAAAACAAGACTCAAATGAACTAACTAGCCAAAAACAGAGGTAAAGTAGGCTATTTCAGAGGCTAAAACATGCTGAACTTGAGCTAAGTTAAGCTAGAAAAACATGTTAACATATAAAGCTAACTAAGCATGCAAACAAGACACAAGGAGGGGAGGCCAAACCCCACCAAATTTGGACTTCAAAATGAGTTTTTTGCCACTGAAAAACCTCTGAAATTCAGTGGTTAAAAGGCCCAAAAAAGTTGGTTTGAAAGTGGTGAACAAAGGTACAAAAGCTTTACAAACAAAGAAATAAGAAGGGTGAACCACTCCCTAACTGAAAATAGCCTCAAACCACCACCTTTAGGCCACAAAAATAGAGTTTTTTACATTTCAAAATCAGCCCCAAAATAGCCTAAAAACAATAGAAGAAGATGGCAAAGCAAATATGTGAAACAAGCTAACAAAGCAGGTGTTATACCTCTTGAAGCCAAGGCACAAATTAGGCAACAAAGCAAGCCACAATCACCTTCTAAAGCTCAAAGGTCTCAAGTAACCTCAGCCCAAAGAGAAGCAACTTTGGTTAAGGAAGTATATGCAAAAGTATAGGATTTGTGAGCAAATGTATACAAAATTGCAAGAGAGAGAAATCTATAGAGAAAGAAATTTGCTCCAAAATTTCTAACCTCAAAAACCAATAGAGAAGGTCAAGTTTATATAGAAAAATATGAGCTTCAGGTCGAAATATCTATATAGGGACAGGTGGAGCAATCTGAAAACAGCTGGCAACAGTTGGCACGAAAATATCTATTTTTTTGCACCAGTGGCTGGCTGGCCATCCATCAATGGTGGATGGCACCCCCCTAAAAGTGGGTAAATCTACTCAAAAACAGGTCAAAATTTTCACTACTGGCCAGCAGGCCACTAAAGTGGCTGGTCACAAAAATCTATTTTTTTGGCCTGATTTCAAACAGGCATATCTCCTTCATCTGGAATCCTTTTCAGGTCATTCTTGACCCCAAATTGAAGCCCTAGAAGTCTACTTTCCAATGGTGGCAGCCTCACATATAAATTCTAAGTGTACAAAGAGATATTCCATTTTAGTGAAGGCTACTCAATTTTGTCCTAACCAGATTCATGCCTAACTTCCCTCCTCTCCTATTTTCTTCAACTCCAAACCTAAAAATAAGATGCTTTGAAAGATTTTTCAAAGAGTTCACCTCTCTTTCATTTATTTTCACTTTGTCCTTGCTCAATTAACCAAAAAGCGAAATATTTAACGAAATGCGAGTCTCGGAACATCGTAGAAACATTCAAAAATATTTTGAAATAGAGGGTTTTAAGGTCTAAAATAATTTTAGTCAAAATAATTTTTGTCCAAAATGGGGTGTAAGGTTGGGAGTTAGAAGCTCTCCTTGCTGAAGAAATCAAACATTTGCATAGCACAACTTTCATCACCGAGTGATCAACCTGAGGCGCCCAAGTCTTAAGGGCAGTCAAAAATTGGGTGTCTACAATAACAAATCCAATAAACTATCAAACCCAAGTACCTTTGTGCGCAAGAGAGTAAAGAATGAAGCTTGGCGACTAAGGGCATCAGCAACTTTATTCAAAGTACCAGATTTGTGCTTGATAACAAAAGAGACCTGCTAGACATAAGCAGCCTATTTGGCATGGTGATCAGAAAGTTTGTCTTGACTGTTGAGGTTCTTCAATGCTTCATAGTTAGAATATATAACAAACTCACTATGGATGAGGTAGTGATAGTAATGTTTAAGGAACCTCACAATGGCATAGAACTCGACATCATAGGTGCTATGCTTCAAACTTGGCACCGTTGATCTTCTCATTATAATACGCCACTGGCTTGTAATTTTGGCTAAGGATAGCCCTAATTCCTACCTTGGATGTGTCGCAATGCAATTCGAAAGGTTGGGTGAAATCTGGTAAAACTAGTATTGAAGTCGTTGTTAACTTCTGCTTGATGACCTCAAAAGCTTGACTAACCTAATCAGTCCACATAAATTTTCCCTTTTCATACAATCTATGATTGGGGCCATGATGGTACTGAAATGATGAATGAATCTCTTGTAAAAAAAAGTAAAAACATGGAAACTTTGCACGTCGAACAAAGTCTTTCATTGAGGCCACTACTTGATTGCCTCTACCTTGGACTCATCCACAAAAATCCTATTTTTGGAAACAATGTATCCAAAAAACAAAACTGTATCTGTCATAAACAAATATTTGTTGGTTGCCCCAAACAACTTCTCTCACTACAACAATGTCAGTACCTCTCGAATATATTGCACATGTAATTCAGGAGTGGGACATATGACTTTGTTTGGGGTGTACTATATAAGTATACTTTTTATCTTTTTTAGGTCACATCACTTCTATACTTTTCTGGACATCTTTTCATAAAAAGTTAAAAAGTGTATTTATTTAAATCATCCCAAACAATCATTTAACAACTACGAATTTATTGACGAATGGTCTCAAGACTAGGTTCATTATTGACATGAAAGTGTTGGGGGTATTGGATAGCTCATAAGGCATGACTAGCCATTCAAAAAGGCCCTCTCGAGTCTTAAAAGGTCTGATTTGAATATGATGATACCCACTCTTAAGATCCAGTTTGGTAAATACCTTGGCCCCATCCAGTTGATCAAGCAAGTCATCTAACTACAAAATAGGAAAGCGTTGTTTCACTGTAATCTTATTGATAGCCTGGCTAACACACATAAGCTACGTCCTATCTTTCTTTGGCATTAGTGGAATTGGGACTGCGCAAGGGCTAATGTTTTCTCTGATGAAGCCTTTAGTCAATCGTTCTTCAACCTGACACCTCAACTCCTCATGCTCCTTTAGACTTTTCTACTAAATCCTCCTTTGCAACCAGGACAAATATCATCTTTGTCTCAACAATCTCTGTTTCAAACTACGCCCTTGTCAATAGGTTGGAACCCTCCTCATTTTTGTTTGGGGATCAACTCTTTTGAAGGAAACATAACAATTTTGGTGGAGTTGAACATCAAGCTGTAAGTATTGTTGTGGCTTTTGTGTTTGACTTGATAGTCATATTGCCATGGCCGTCCTAAGAGAAGATGGCATGCATCTATGGCCACTATATCACATCACACTCGATCCTTGTACTTCAATCCAATGGAAAAAGAAATTAAACAACGTTTAGTTACTTTTACCTTATTCTCTTTCTTAAACCACCCTAATTTATAGGGGTTTGGGTGTTGTTCTCTCTTCAAGCCCAACTTCTGAACAACTTCTTTGGACACCACATTCTTATAACTTCCCGAGTCAATCACAAATCGGCACACCTTTCTTTGGACACCACATTCTTATAACTTCCCGAGTCAATCACAAATCGGCACACCTTGCCACCGATGGAACAAGTCCACTAAAAGATATTGTTACGTAGTCATGAGTTTCCATCAGTCTCTCATGGAGATGGACAAACCCGCCGGACAACCAACAGGGGACCATGATCTCTGGTAACCTCTTCTATTTCTAGTTCAGACCCGTCATAATCATGTGTGTGCTCAGAATTAGTTACCCTCGTTGCTCTAGTGACAAGTTGGACCATTGGTTTAGCCATTGCCTGGGCCGCAACAGTACAAAGGGGTAGTACTAAACTACCCCATGGATTTGTTGTGGACTTCAGATTGCTTTGCTTTTCCTACTATAGTGCTCGCTGATAAGCATCAGAGACAGTAAACAAATCAAACATGTTCAGAATGTTCTAGAATTGTGGTCTCAGCCCTCTAATATACCTCGATCTGATTCTGTTAACTCATTTCTGGTTACAAACTAGTAGAACTCCGTCGTGTGGTCATCCCCGGTACATGTTCCTTGCCACAGGTTTTGCAACCTTTGGTACATGAGCCACGTGTAATTGAGAAGCAAGAAAGCAATTGAGCTTCTTCAATTTCTCCCATGAACCAATCTTCTCTTCCCTCATCTCTATCTAGTCATCTTGACTTGCTGCCACCACACAGCCACCATGCCATGAAACCTGGTAACCACCAAAGGGACCCGATTAGAGTCGGGAACCTCCTTGAACTCCAAGACTCCGTCGACAGTAACCACCCAGTCCAAGAATTCCTCTGGTGCCAGATCTCCTTGAAATTCAGGAATGTCGATCTTAAGCCCGGACTCCCAGTGACAAGAATCATGGTTGGGAACCATGATTCTTCAGCCTCTAACCTTTCCCGAATAATCTGCGAATGGGTTGTTGGCGATATTGTTTTTCAAACCAATAACATTGGTTTGGTTG